CTGTCGATTACAATTATAGTAAATCAACCGAAAGCTGCGAACCGTAACACAGCAAAAGCAATAATAAATTCAATACACCGAAGCGCAAATGCACTTTCCAGAATCCTTCCTAATGTTTGTTCAATCCTAGCGACTGGCACGAAAAGAGCTTCATATCATATCGATTCAGCTCTGGTTGTATATATATATATATACCGTATTGGCCAACTCTCGTGCCGTCATGGAAGTCACTCTGTTAGAGTATAATAATAGTACTAAAAAAAAAGCATCAAAATAATGGATATAAAACGAAATGTTGGCCAGGAAAATTGTGTTGATGTCTCAGCTGGTTGCCTTGGTGTTGATTTCGCATGAATTCTGCAACATTTCGACGCCGCCGATGTGACAATGTGACAGCTACAACAGCAACAATTTGAGCCAAACAACAACAACAGCATCCACATTACCTGAAAGGCAGTAAACAAACAGAAAGGCGTGAGCATCGAGCACTGAGAGGACGACCAAGACACACCCTGTAGCGATAGATACTCTGATAGCATAGCAAAAGTCATGGCCATGTAATATACTCTAGATCTGTTTGAGATCAAGGCAGAGATTTCATTGAGGTGTTATATAGATGTCGTTTGTACATCATATGCATGCCATAGAGATGTCATATGCTGTCATACAGATCTTAAATATATATCATATAAATCTCATATAGATTTCATATTGATCTCATATTGATCTCATATACATCTCATATAGATGCCATATAGATCTGAAATATATGTCAGATGATATATGATATATGTCATATTAATCTGTGATAGATATCATATAGAACTTAGATAAATGTCATATAAATGTCATATTGATTTCATGTAGATCACAAATAGATCTCATATACATGTCATATAAATCTCATATAGATCTCATATGTCTCATATAGATGTCATATAGAAGTCATTTAGAAGTCATAGAGATGTCATATAGATCTCATGTAGTTAACATCATACCCATTCTTTTATTTAATGACTACAGGGTATGCTGATAGTGTAAGTGCCAGAGGCTGCTGCCTAGGCAAATGTAAATATATTCTATTTTCTTTTTTGGGTAGCACAATTTATGTGTAATTGACAGATGATTTGGGGAGAGGGCGTCGATTGGGTTAAAGGAAATGACTTGGGCGACGCTCTTGGCAACGCTTGGCTGCCGCTGTTGGCATGGCTTGTCACGTGCGGTGCCTGTGGTGGCTGTGAGTGTCATTTGCTTGGCGAGCCACATTTCTCAGTCAACGCATGATGCACCCGTGTGGGGTGACCCACGCTTAAAGGCGAAGTTAAAGCAATGCCAATTCTTAAATGCAATGTCAATGGTCAAAAAGCTTTTGTTGACGTTTTTAAAGAACTTTACTGTAATTTGCTTATGCTTTTGTTCTTGCACAAGAAAGTTTGAGAGGAAGACAGAGCTTTATTAAGCTTGAGATGCTTAAAGCTGTGGCTAGGATACAGCCTAAAGTAGCCCAAGTGAAACTAAGCTTATGCTTTGGCTTGGACTTTCTTGAAGTTTAAATAGAAAAGCATTTTCGAAGCTTTGAGCTTTTTGCTTTTAAGCTAACGAGCCATTGTAGGATAACGAAAAGCGGTTTTCCTATTCAAAGAGTGTTTCAAGCTTTTATTTTCTAATATTTTTCTGAACTTATGAACTATAATTAAAGATGCTGAAATAACCCGTAGCACCTAATAGAAACGTTACATTACAAACGTAAGTTAAATATAATTTCGCTTATCTTGAAAAATTTTTGTACTTATTTATTTGTTTTTCATTTAAAATTTTATAAAGTTAACACTTCAAAAATATGCAGAAAATATTTAAATTTAAAGTAAATACTGCTTTAATGGTAGCAAATAAATTTGCTTATTAGACTTTTCCCAATTGGAAGTAAACGTAGTTGAGGCCAACCAAAAAATATATAGAAGACTAAGCACTTCACGTTGTACACAGCTTAAAGCTTAAGCTTGAAGCTTTTCATTTACACAAAGCTTAGCAAAAGCTCAAAAGCTTAGCTTGGAGCAACTGTTTATATTTTGAATATATTGTCGGTTTAGTCATACACGAAAATCGTTTGTTGAACGCCAAAAGTTTTCGAGTGTTGGAGTGTGTGTCTGTGTGTGTGTGTGCCTGTGTATGTGTGTGTCAAAAAGGTAAACAATAGCAACAACGACGCCAACTAAAAGCGTTTCTTACTAACTTTGCCAGCAAGTAAGCCGAGCCGCCTGTCCGCCGGGCGCGACGACCCACATACACACACATGGACCTACACACACACACACACACTCGTACACACACAGTGTAGCCAATTCACACACACGCAGACGCAGATTTCCAGTTAAGCGTGTTTCATTCAGTTTCACTTTCAGTCGTCGCCTGACTTCCGCACGGAAGCGTTCGTTGCGTTCGCCTCTCTCTTCATACACTCTCTACTCAAGCTTCACTTTATTATTTTTTGTGTTATTATTTTGGCTGTGCAGCCCAAGGAAAAGTTTGTAAGCCAAGCAAACACAAAACTTTTTGAAAATAACCAAAAAAAAAAAAAAAAAAAAAAAAAAAAAAAGAATAAATAAAAAAGAAATTATGTTAAAGTTAGTCAAGAAATTTCCATTAAATGCTAAAAACATAAAAAACAAAACGCACAACGCAACAGAGGCTCGCGGGAATTTAAAATAATAAATAAAAAAAAGACGAAAAACAAAAAAAAAACGGAATACAGAAAACAAACAAACAGAAACACAAAGGTGGCAAAATGTTAAAAAAGAAAATTCAAAGAGAAAGAAAAGTGGGGAAAATGTTTCTTTGGCTGCCACAAGCTGCCGCTGCTGCTGCTGCTTCTGCTGCTGGTGAACAGCTGTTGTTGCTCTTGCTGTTACTGTTATTATTATTCTTATTATTATTGCTAGTGCCATGCATGTGTGTGTGCGTGTGTGTGCGCGTGTGTGTGTGTGTACGTTACGCCATTCATGCCGCCTGCTTTACAAATAAAAACAATGAACACAAGCGAAAGTGTGGCTCATGGGCAACAAATTAATAACAACAGCTGCACACAGTCTCATATGTGTGAGTGTCTGGGTGTGTGTGTGTGGATGTGTGTGTGTCTCACATAAATATATAGGAGCATTTTTTAATTTTTATCCTTGCAAATAGTGTCAAATGCGCAACGTCAACAGCAGCTGTTTGAAATGCAGCTCTGCCAATATATATATTTATATATAAAAAAAAATATATATATATAGCTATGTGTGTATGTGTGAGGCACAAGCTGGCTAACATAAAGACAACGGTTTAGCTTGCCTCTTGCATCCTGCCTCCAGAAGACTTGAGCGCTGCTCGAGTCATTGTTATCTTGCTGCCAAAAGGACTTGCTGCTGCTTTTGTTTACACACAGCCTCAGGCACTCGCCTTGCCATGTGTCTGTGTGCCATTGCAACTATCTGTAAACCAACATATATATAGACCATTTATTCAATGTGGCAAGACATTGATATACGTGTATGTGCATAGCACTTATATAGCTCCAGCTGCATTGGCGTTGTCATCGATTGCTATAGCTAGACACACACACATATATATATATAGAAATATATCTAAATCACATATTTATCTATATATATATGTGGCTAATGTTATTTTAATTTGATACGGGTACATACACTCTCTAAGCTGAGCGCGCCCCAAAAAGTATGCTACGAAAAAAGCTATTCAAATTAGAAATGAGATGAAGCAACATTTGGAGTAGACTCGAACTTGGCCAACATAGGCGGCTTGTTGATAAGTTATCTCTGTTTGTGTATACCATTAATCAAATGGCTTCTTTTTAGTTTTGGTTCCCTTTTTGTTTGGTTTCTTGTCAGCTCATGCATGTCCGATATCCTTCCATGCCATTGGCTAGGCCATGCGGGTCCACTAGAGAATTGCCGCATGCTTAGATCTTGAGAGCAATTTGAATAGCGAAAGTTTTTTGCTATTGAATTCGACCTATTCAAACAAGCAGCACCCGCAGCAGCAGCAGCAGCAGCAGCAGCCACAACAACTGTTTGAGCAGAGCCCTTTAAGCACATCAATCATACGCACTGTTGTGCGAGGCAAACATTTGCATAGGCCATGTGTGGGCAGTACGCTGTGCTAATGTGAGCAACTGCCTGCAGCAGCACCAACACCACCAACACCTCCAGCACCACTATCGCCAACCACAGCGTAGTAAACTTTCGCTCAAATACAATATGCAAATTGTAATACGTCAAGTTTGTGCTGCTTGTCGGGGTTAAGCTGAAACTAGTCAGCCAAGTTGATATGCCGCTTGTAATCCAGGCGAAAAATCAAGTTTCACCAGCTGCTGGCGCACACACTTTGCAGCCTGCCACATACGCGCCGCGCTGCCTAATTCAATTTTGGCATTTCACTAAGTCGTTTATCTGTGGCAAACACGGCTTGGCAAACTTGCCAGCAAATTGAATCAGTAACCAGTCAAAAGCCAGCCAGTCAGCCAGTCAGCCAGCCAGGGCCAGCATCATAATCAGAGCTGAGCTCCCTTTGCGCTCTTTTCGGGCTTGCGATTATGCAAATTTCATTTGTAACAAAAATTTATTGCCAAAAAAAACCCGAACATCGTATGCACTGCATAAACAGCTCATTAAAAGCTAAAAATGAATAAAAAATAAATGAAGGAAGAACACAAAATCTGTGCGCCTTATCAGCAGGGCTAATTTTCAAAGCCTAACGCCCACAGCCACGCCCAGTCGGCTGCCCAGCTGACATGATGCGCGCTTTGGCGCGTAATGGCAAAGATTTTGTGATTAATGAGCCGTTTGACTTGGCATTGACTACGACTGAAAAGTCTAAGGGCAGCAACTAGCTAAGCACGCATTAACATCATCATCATCATCATCTGCGTCTCGTCATCATTGTCGTTATCATTATCATTAATATTATCTGCAACAACAACAGCAGCAAGAGCAATAAACATGGTTGAAATACAAAAGCCGCACTCGGCTCTCAAGCGTCCATCGGTTAAGCGCGAAACAGTTGTCGTTAACAATAGTGCACCAACCATCAAGAAGGTGACTCTGGTGCCCAAGGATGAGGTGAGTCCAGTGCGGGGCCAATGGCGTTGAAGCGCACAGCTTGTTGTTAGTAGTAATTACATGATTACACAGTGCATAATGTGCCCTTTATTCTCCCCCCCCCCCTGTCTCGCCCTCTCCCTGCCCCTCCCTCGCCAACTCATTTCACACAATTTGCATAACTTTGTGGCCAAAATTGCTTGGCATATTTGGCTCTCATTGTTTTTTAATGGCCTTGCCAAGGGGTAGTCTAAGCTTGTGATAATCTGAGACACAGCAGGAAGCATTTACTTATATTGACAGTGGATAAATGTATCGAAAATATAAGCAAAAAACACTAAGCAAACTCAAGTCTAAGGCGCTTAGCCAAGGCAAATATGAATGATTATGATTGCTAATGGAAATCTTCAATAATAAAAAGTTGAAAGTCTTAAGAACAATTTAATGAAGATTCAGATAACTAAAGCCAAATCATCTTGCAACTCTTGATATTACTAAAAATAACCTAGAAGCAGAAAAGAGTTCTACAAATTTAAAGTGCTTAAGATGCTTAAAATTCAGACACAGCTCGGATAGGCAGCAAGTAAAACTTGCAGACGAAAGTATCTAAAATGGGAGGCTTCTTTGTTATCCTTAAGATGTAAATTTGAAGTGTTGGAAAACAAAGATTTGTGTAGTCGGTAAGCAGAGATGATGAGTTCTTAAAGTGATGTCTGTGTGAATGATACTTGTAGCTAAGTGTACTAATAGATCTTCCTTTACTGCTGCTAATACTACTACTTTTTGCTACCGCTGCTACTACTACTTATTTTACTACTATTACTACTACTACTACTATTTATTTTTACTGCTATTACTTTTACTATTACTATTAATATTTCTACGACTAAGACTACTACTTCTTTTGCCACTACCAGTACTATCCTGCTACTACTACAACTATTATGCTTTTACTACTACTTCTACTAATACTATTACTACTTCTACTGCTACTGTTACTACTACTACTACTTCTACTACGACTACAAATATTACTTCTTTTACTTCTACTGCGATTACTTCTTTAACTACTACTAGTAGTACTTCTACTACTATTACTACTACTACTACCTCTACTACGACTACAAATATTACTTCTTTTACTTCTACTGCGATTACTTCTTTAACTACTACTAGTAGTACTTCTACTACTATTACTACTACTACTACAATTCTTTTTTTTACTACTACTATTACTACTTCTACTACTATTACTTCGTATACCTCTACTATTACTACTTCTACTACAATTACTACTTCTACAACAATTACTTCTTTAGCTACTACTAGTAGTACTTCTACTACTATTACTACTTCTACTACAATTATTTCTTTTACCTCTACTATTGCTACTTCTACTACAATTACTTCTTTTACTAATACTATTACTACTTCTAGTACAATTGCTTCTGTTATTATTACTATTACTACCTCTACTACTACTACTACTCCCACTACTAATTTGTGACTACTACTAATTTTGTGACTACTACTTCTATTCCTATTACTACTCCTATTTCAAGTTCTTAACAAAGCTCAGTTTTCTTTGAATTTACATTTCTTTAACTGCACCAAGCCTTGATATAATCCTAAGCCGTGCCACATCCAACAATTTTATATGGACCATTTATCTAGAAGCCTCACGTCTGCAAGAGCATTTCAGCTCTGTCTGGCACCAATTTGCCCCACTTTGAAGTTTCATTTTCGTGTTTTGCCCTCTTTGAAATTTAACAACGTTTGAGCATGCTAATGTAATAATAATGTAATAATATGATAATCTGATTGGGCTAACTAATCCAATCCAAAGTTCATTTATGCCATTCATTTCTTTAAGTGCATGTAAATTATATAAAAAAAACTTTGAAATTACTTTTATTATGACATTAGGCAGCCCAGCGGGCGTTACGAACAGATCAGCCTTGGGTTTGAACTTGAATTCGAGCCAAGGTTAATCGCTAAATATATATACATAAGTATATATAAAGTTTATTGCCAATCAGTCATCGAATTTATGTATTGTAATTAATATAAAGTCGTTGCGTGGTAGGCGTGGCTGCGTCTTAGGCGTTGAACGCCTCAAAGTATTTGTTGCAAGTTAATTAAGTATGCAAATGTCTTTTGTCGGGGCGTATCCTTTGTTGCTGCTAAGGAAAATATGTATAAGAAAAAGTAGACAAAAAGGATTAAGTGAAGTCCTTTGCCTAGGCTCATTTAATTGCTTTTATGAGCCGTAGATAAACAAGTGGCCCAAAAATAACTGCCAAACGGGCAACATACTTTATGCCAGCTTTCAGTCGACAGCCCAAAGCCGACAACCCCTTGCCGCCCGCACACGCCCCTTCGCCGCCCATGCCCATGTCCACGTCCATGTCTCAACTATAGCAACAACGCATAAAATTACAAATAGGAAAATGTAATTTTGTGTGTTTGTCTTTGCCTTTGTCTTTGTCTTTGGGCTCTGTTGCTCCTCATTTTATGTTGTCGCAGCTCATTTGCAAAATTCATAAATAAAAGTGAGCCTCAATCGGGCCAATGGGGTATATCGCACTTGTAAGCTTGGACCGAAATTTAGTTGTCATGGAATACCAAATATTCCCAGTATACGGATTCCCAGTATATTGTTTCCCAGTATATGAATTAGCTGTATATGTGACTGCTCTAAAATAGATTGTTGTTGAGTCGGCTCAAGGCTCACAACGTTGACGACGGATTCTCGAACTTAATTGACTTTTAAGATATCAACTGATTCAGTTTGAGCTCAAATTGTGATCAAGTCGAAGACAGCACAGCACTCATAGACTAGCCAGGGATTGCTTGTTGGGCAGCGTGACTCCTAGCTTAAAGGGTATTTAGCCAGCGACACTTGCACCAATTGCTGTGCATTGACTGTGCCGCTGACATACCCTTTGAGAAAGCGCTGTACGGCAAAGGGCATGAGTGGTTAGAGAGCGAGCACAGATTGCGCAGATTTTGAGTTTATAAATGCAAATTATAAACTGGCTGAAGGCGTAACAACTTTCGATTGGCATTTCATTATGAACGTGCCATAAATAAACTCCATTTGGCATATCGATTGGCCAACGCCTCCTGCTACTCGGCGTAGGTCCTGTAGCCTCGAGCAATGGCAATGCTATCAAGAGCAGGCTGTCCGCTTCGACACGCTGCCGGAGTTAAGGGGACGTTGCTACGTCGAAGGCGTTTTTCGCAAAAGTTCACTGCAAATCTTTTGGCCCATAAATAAGGCGAACTCCCCGCACCATCCAGCTCGGCCCAGCCCGTTCCAGCCCGGCCGTTGGTCTCGCATTTTATTACCTTTGAAAAGTTGTTCGGCTGGCTGGAGAAAGAAATAAATAAATAAAATACAAATAAAATTTATAGAGCCAACTCAGCTCGGCGGCAAATAATTGAGCAGTGCTGTCAAAAATGTTTTACGACTCTCATAATTCTTTTTTATAATGTTTGAAATTAAATTTAATTTGTCAGCCCAGAAAGGTAATTGCGGATTGCTGCGCATCCCCCCAATGTTATCGTCATCTCGGCCACGCCCACATCCGCTGCCATCAGCCATGTCTGTCATCATTCTTGTCAGCAGCGAGCAAGAGCGACAGAAAGAGAAGTAAAAGAAAACTTGAAACTCATTTTTGACTTGCTGGAATGAAACTTTGTGGAAAAGTTGTCGAGCGCCGGAAGCGCAGCGCAGAGAACACTTCCAGCAATGCACTGATTTCCTTTTAATTATCATAATTATGCGTTGAATCGCAATTTGTGCCAACTTCAGACAGCCTGACCTTCCATCCCATTGGCAAACTGCGAAACGGGTGGGGCGTGGCAGCCATCTTCCGGCGACGCCAACTAAGCCGGAGATAAGAATTGCCTAACAATTTCCATTCGGCTCTTGGTCAAATGGAATTCAAAGTCATTCGAGCAAAAATCTTCAAAATTAATGTCAGCAACATATAAAATTGCATTTGTTAATTTTGATTATATATACTTATATAATTTTTTATTTTATTTTTTATTGGTGTTAATATTATAATTGTTATATTTATTTATATTAATATGATCCTTTTTTATGTTTATTTTAATTTAATTATTTTATTTATTTTAATATTAAAATTTTATTTATTTTAGGTATAATTATAATTGTTTTTATTATTACGAGTTTATTAAAATATTTGCATTATTTTTTTTATGCATTATAATATAATAAAACTGTATCTGTAGTATTATAAATGTATTTACTATTAATAACTTTAGTTTATAATTATTTTAAAATTATAATTAATTGGGTTTTTATGCATAAACTGTATTTTTCATATAAAAATTTGTTTCTTATTTAAATTTAAAAAATGTTTTTAGTTTAAGTAAACATATTAGCTTGTCTTGAACTTTAACCTATATATATATATACATATATCTTTATCATAAAATCAAATGGACCATATGTTTGACTATCAAAAACATTATTTTAATACAAAAAAAATTGCAGCAATTGATGACTCTATTTATAATAAAATGTCAAGCCAAACGCAATAAAATGCAACTATTAAATGTTAAATGGGTTATCAAATAAAACAATGTTGTCCACTCAAAGCTGTAAGCCTCTAAAAAAAAACATAAAATAAACAACATTTAACATAAAAATGTTAGAGCCTTGTAAGAAAAATCGCACACTGTTGAACAAAATGGGATTTCTTTTTATGCTATGAGCAAAAGGACATAAAACTCTGAAAGAATTTGTAGCATAAATTCCGCAGCTGCAAAATCTTTTTCTCAAGGACTTTTCAGTGTAGGGAAAACGATTGAAAGTGTGATATGTGTGAATAACTTTAGACAGACTCTAATTAATTCTTCAGGCCTAGGCTTTACATATATATTAATTAATTGCAATAGCAATTACGTAAATTCTATGAAATAAGAAGCGTATCACATTTTACATTTGCAAGAGAAATTCCTTTGAAAAGTATCATATGACTTGACAC